AATTATTTTTTTTTGTGTGCGCGAAGCGAGGCGTCTCCCCGCGATAGTGCAAGTGCGCGGAGTGTGCGGGATCGCGGAAAAAGTGACAGGCGGAGAAGATCGCGGACAGTGCGACGGTTCGCGAAACGGTGTCGCGTGCCGACAGATCGCGGATATCGAGGCGCGCGGCGCGGACGGTGGCGAGCGGCGTCCGCGTGCGTTTTGTGAAATTTTCATGCCTCTGCCGGGATGCCGAAAAGCGACCTCGACGCGTGGATCCTGGAGCTGTCACTCGAGCAGTTCCAGGATGAAGCCACCGCGCGAGGCTTGATCGCGACCGGCACCATCGCGACATTGAGGTCGCGATTGACGCGCTACGAACGCGCGGGGCGCCGCGACCCCGTGCCGCCGTCGCCCGCGGTGGACGCGTCGCTCTCGTCGTTTGACCTCCAAGTGGAGGAGGTCCCCGAGGGCGCGGTCAGTAGTGGCGGGGGGCCCGAAATACCGGGTCGAGGCGATCTCGACCGTACCGTACCGGACCCCGAGGAATCGGAGCCATTATCGTTTAAAATCGAGGCCCCCGCGAGACCGCCGACCGCCGTTCCGTCGACGGCGCGCGTATTGATACCGCCGCCACTATCGTTGCCGCACGACGGCTTGCCATCGGCCTTTGAGCCGCGGGCTGCGTGGCGACCGTCGGTCCCGGAGTCTCGCTCACGTACCGGCGAGCGACCGTTGTCGGCCAGCGACGCATATAACACCATGCGTCGCTGGAATATCAGCTTCTTGGGTGCGCGCGGAAGCGACGTCAAGGCCTTCCTCCTGCGAATAACTGAGGGTCACGACTTGGTGCCGATCGCAGACGAGGACCTACTGAGGTGTCTCCCGTTTTTTCTCGTGGGGATCGTGCTTCAGTGGTACCGGATCCAGCGGTCGCGATGGTCGGAGTGGCGAGAGGTGGAGGCCGCGATGCGTGTCAGGTTTGGGGATCCCGATTACTAGTTTGCGCTGCGCGACGAAATAATGCGTCGCACGCAGGGCGAACATGAGCCGGTCGCGGATTTTCTGACCTGCCTGATGGGACTGTTCGATCGGCTCGATCCACCATGGAGCCCGGTCGAGCAGCTGAACTACGCGCATCGCAACATGTTGCCGCGCCTCCAGATTGCCGTCCACTGCGACGACTTCGCCGATTTTGACGCTCTCGAAAGACTCGCGACGAGAGTGGAGCGTAGCTACCTCGCCGCAGGTCAGTATCGCGCGCCGCCGCCACCCAAACGCTCGACCTTCCCGGATTTCGCGTATCGACCGCCACCGCGCTCGTCACGGCCGTCAACGACGATAACAATTTTGGTGTGCAGGGCTCGGGAGTCGCGCGCGAGGAAGGACGTCCGCGCGCCGACGGCACGACGCGCCGTCCCGAGCGGACGACCCCGCCGACTCCCGCGAGGGCGATCCGACCACCGGCTGCCCGGGTGGGGGAGGCGGGGGCGGGGGTGAAGGGGGAGCCTCCGTGAGACACCGCGGAGGTCTCCACCTCGCGACTAACGTCGCGGAGCAGAACCGCTAAATGCTGGAACTGCGACGGGTCACTTCTCGCGGGATTGCCGCGAGCCCCCGCGCGTCCACTGCTACCGTTGTGGGCGCAACCAGCAGACGGTGAGGACGTGCCCCTCGTGCACGGGAAACGGGAGAGGAAGACGATAGGTCGGGTCCCTACGTCTTCTCCCGATTCCGAGACCCGCGATTTAGAGCAGAGGGTTAGCGGATTGTACGGGGTGCGTCAATTTAGTGAGCGGGCGTCCTTGCATTATATAGAGTTTTGTGTGGGCGAGAATTGCTTACTCGGATTGGTTGATACCGGTTCTGATAGGACCATTTTTGGTGAAGAAGGTATCGACCTGATCCGAGAGTTAGAACTGCCGATCTCGCATGATTCCGAGTCCCGAGTTCGCTTGGCGAATGGGAACATAGTGTCGATGAGGAAATCGACAAGTATCGTTATCGCATTGCAGGGACAAACGCGCACGCTTACCGTCGGCTTGATGCCGAGTCTCGCAGTCCCGGTTGTTATCGGAATGGATTTTCTCGCCGCCTTTGGTGTAATAATAGATTTTTCGCGAGGCGAGTGGTCCTTTGCGAGTGACGCGGCGATCCGATATCCGTTCTGTAACGAGCGCGGACAGGAAAATCGGTGCTACGGGGTCTCAGAATTATCGCGTTTAGAGGATGGAAAATTAAAAAAAATTTTAGTGAATACCGTATCGACCGCTATCGAAAGTCCCGGCGTCACGTCGCTTACCGAACACCGTATCGACGTCGGGACTCATTCGCCAATTCGACAGCGATGCTATTTAGTGTCGCCGAAGGTGCAAGAGGCGATCCGTAGCGAGGTAGATAAGATGTTAGAAAACGGAATAATCGAGCTTTCGAAAAGCGAGTGGTCTAATCCGATCGTGATGGTTAAGAAACCGAGCGACAAATACCGTTTTTGTATCGACTTTCGTAAAGTAAACAACGTTTCGAAGAAGGACGCGTACCCGCTACCGAATATGACGGGTATTCTCGACAAGTTACGTTTGGCTCATTATATTTTAACTATCGATCTGAGTCAGGCCTATTTTCAAATACCATTAGCGAAAGAAAGTCGAGAAATTACCGCATTTTCCGTACCGGGGAAAGGGCACTACCACTTCAAGCGAATGCCGTATCGGGTTATCGGGGGCTCCGGCAACCTTCCAACGATTGCTAGATAAATTGATCGGCCCCAAAATGGAGCCTCACGCGTTCGTTTATCTCGATGATATTGTGGTAGTGACCTCCACGTTCGAACAACATCTCGAATGGCTGTCGCGTGTCTTTGCGAAAATAAACTCTGCCGGTTTAACGATTAACGTGGAAAAGAGTGAATTTTGCCGCTCGGAAGTAAAGTATCTCGGATTTTTGGTGCATAGAGACGGTTTGAGGGTCGACGACGAGAAAGTACAGCCTCTTCTCGAGTACCCGGCGCCTATTAACTTGAAACAGCTTCGGCGTTTTTTAGGTATGGCGTCGTGGTATCGTCGTTTCTTACCGAATTTCGCGACTATTTGTGAACCGCTCACGCGGTTGCTGCGCAAAGGCAAACGGTGGGAATGGAATACCAAACAGAAGACTGCTTTCGAAAAGATCCGAGCGGATTTGACCACTGTGCCAGTATTAGCGTGCCAGAATTTCGAGCTGCCGTTCGTGCTACAGACTGACGCGAGTACCGTGGGCTTAGGCGCGGTGTTGACGCAGACAATCGACGAGGTCGAACGTGTTATTGCGAACGCTCACGGACGCCGAGAAGAAGTATAGCGCAACGGAGCTCGAATGTTTGGCCGTTATCTGGGCAATTAAGAAATTTCGACCGTATCTCGAAGGCTACCGTTTCACAGTTGTTACCGACCATAGCAGTTTGCGATGGTTGCACAACTTAAGCAATCCCACGGTCGTCTTGCACGCTGGGCGTTGAAC